ATTGTTTGGCGGGCCTGGGTTGGATTCGAACCCGCCACCTTAGGTGTATATGGCTGGCGCCTTAGCCACTTGAGCCACAGGCGCCGAGCCACCTTTGTAATTATAACTTGAGTTTTGTGTTGGGTCTGAACTTTCTATTTATCCACCAAGTTTAGTGTGTGTTCTTGTTTTTTGAACCTGTTGAATTGAGAATCAGAAAAGGCATTATTTTCTCTGTTTCAAAGTTGGTTCTTGACGACCTTGTTAATTTGCAAAATCTTTTGTGGGGAAACGCATGCTCGTGAAATTTAAGAGTTTTGTTTAGTATTATTTATATTCCACATATCTTTTATGAGAGCTCTTTCCTCCCTTGTGTCTTTTAAATTTGAAACTTCTGTGGCAGGAGAGGACTCCAGCATGTAGGATGTTATGGGATGTTACTAAGCCATGCTGAACATTGTCTACAAATATTTGAGTGTTGTTGTAAGTAGTACTAAACAGGTGAAGAAGATAGCTGTGCGGAGAGGAGGGTTTTCTCTTTTCAGGGAAGTCACAAGGCGAGAGTGACAGTAGAGAAGGGTGAAGGACTTTAGTAGAGGTAGAAGTTATGAAATAGACTGAGAGGGAGAAGTAAGCCAATCCAAGTTGGATTTCTTGACAGTACTAAAATTACAGTATAATCATCTTGTGGGATTTCAGAGTTCATTTCACTAGGAAAGTGAAGGAAGTGGTGGATGATTTGGGACAGGTTTTGAAGGTAGACAGGATATGGCATCAGAATAGTATGGACAACTTAGTGTCCAGATACTACTTCTGAATCTTTGTGGGTGATGACAGAAAGTACCAAATACAGTAGAACTTCTGTAAGTTGACCACTAACGCACTATAACAGGTGAACATGCAGAGGTGGTTAACATAAGGAACTAGGCCTACTGCACTATATTTCTTTCATGCCATGTCTATGAAAATTAGGTCAACTTAGGGAGGTGGTCAACTGTGTAGGTTCTGTATTGGAAAAAGTGGAAAGAGATACAACTTTTTGCCTGTATTAGCTAGGCAATGTTTTGAATCATGGTCTTTGATTTCAAGCTGTTGTCAATCCAGTTGGGAAGATGTGGTTTTTCAAGACGACTAGTACCAGCCAGACTCCTTAAGTAGGCAGTTTGGGGAAGTAAGTAAATTTTACTTTTGCTGGTTAGGATGTGGCTTCAGAGGAGGTAGTGTATAAAAAGTAGGAAGAGTAGTACATACACATATAGCTACGACTTTTTTAACATTTTCCAACTATTTCATATACTGTGTGTGTGATGGAATCATTTTAAAGTTAACAGACATCATACTTCATAATGACAAAATTAATTCCCTTTATTTAAGGTCTAGTCATATTTTCTTTTTTTTTTTTTT